AGAGAGAGAGAGAGAGAGAGAGAGAGAGAGAGAGAGAGAGAGAGAGAGAGAGAGAGAGAGAGAGAGAGATGCGCACGCCGCGTGCCGTCACGTGCCGTCGCGTGCCGTAGCGTGCCGTCGCGTGCCGTAGCGCCCGAGACGATTGAGAAGCCCGCCCCTTCGAAGGGCGATTTCAGGGCGGGGCACGGGCACACGTTCAGAAAGGGCGTTTGGGCGGGCCTAACCGGTATCGCACGACCCAGATTGCGGGGCGGTCACCACCTGCGGACGGCCCAGATCGCAGGCCGATGAGAAAAGTTCTCATCGGCCTGCGATCTGGGCCGTCCGCGGGTGGTGACCGGGCCGCAACCTGGGATGGTAGATATGACGTTAGCGATTCTTATAGTATTGTAGATTAGTCCCCATGATACCCCCTCGACACCATGCAAATTGGCTGTGAGTAGTTGGCCTGGACAGCTGGCACAAAAATAGTACATCCATGAACTGTTGAAAAAGTACACTCATGATCAGTTGACTCAATTTGTACACCCATGATCTCTTGAAATACATTGAAATACAGACCTGAACTCGAATCGAGACAAAACTAGATTAATAAAATTTAATAATTATGAATTACCAAATCCCGATCAGTTCAACCATATCCCAAGCCCGTCACCCTTTATAAAGGAGGGGGAAAAATCAAGGTCACCATTTGGGGGCAAGGACAACCAAGATTGAGGGTTGACACGGGATACAGGTGTGTGAAACACAATGAAAAGAACTGTCCAAGGTTGTTGTTTCTATTTTGTTGTGTATTATGTTGTCCTTTGACCCCATCCCAAACCTCCACCTTCCTGCCTGCAGCTTTGTCTGTCCGTTTGTCTTCCTCGGTCCCTCCCTCCCAAAATCTCGTCATTTGCACAGTATTGTCCCTCGACCCAAGCACAATGTGGTATGCACGCCTCCCACACGGGCCCTGTTATGACCCGATTGTAGTTGGGGGTCCTAGGAGTAGTGTAGAGGAGGGGTTCATTTCATTTTCTGGTTCGCCTGCATCTTTTTGGGTATTTTTTTCTTTTTTTGCCCAGTTTATTTGGTCTTTTCCGAGTTCTTTGTCTCTTCTCAGTTCTTTTGGGTTTGAGTTCAAGTCTGTCCGGTTTCTTACGATCAACATTTTTGTCCCGTTCAGGTAGGACTGGTCTGGACACGTCGTTTTTTTTGGTTGGTCCAGACCAGTAAGGCTTATGTACTATTCCAGTAGTCTGGGCCGATTCAGGCTCGGCTGCCACAGTTTGAGCCAGGCATAGCCTGTCTGCGCTGGACCGCATTGTTTAGGTCCAGCTACACGTTTTGGCTAGAATAGGTTTTCGGGCCTGGATCCGAGTTCTTTGTCTGTTCTCAGTTATGTTGGGTCTGAGTTCGAGTCTGTCCGGTCTCAGAGACTAAGCAGTTTTGTCCGGTTCAGGTAGGACTGGTCTGGACAAGTCATTTTGTTTAGTTGGTCTAGACCAGTAAGGCCTAGTGTACAATTCTAGTAGTCTGGCCGATCCATGCCCAACAGCCACAGTTCGAGCCAGGCACAGCACTCCTGGGCTGGGCCGGACTATTTAGGTCCAGCTACACGTTTTGGCCAGAACAGTTTTTCGGGCTTGGATCCTGGATTGTCGACCAGTAGTCCGATCGGACGATCACCGATACATGAGGACACTAGGAGAAGTTGGTCTAGCGCCATAGATAACTCGATCGGCCTCATTGCTGACACACAGCATTTGGAGGTTGAGGTCGATGCACTGCTGCACAGCGCTCTTCAGACAAGACAAGTTAGGCGGAGTAGTGAAGTAGGAGGTTAAGGCAGAGGCCCGATGGGAGGCGACATACCTGCAGACTTACCTAGGTGCGATTGTCTCAGCGGTATAAAACGCACCCCTAACGGGCTGCGAACATCACCCTCAGCCCGCCCACGGTCTATTTGCCACGTGCCATGATTCACTCGTGCCATATGTCAAGCCACTGCCCCTATTGAGGATAGCAATGAGCATGTCCCTGACCAAGACTTGCACGGGCTCCACAAGGGATGCCCTCTTCCCATCTCGTGTGCTGGCCCAACAACTGACGGGATTATGTGTGGTAAAATTGTACAATATCAAGAGCTGATTTTTCTAAATCCTTCCTTTCAAATAATTGTAAAATTTTGATTGCCCCTCCCTCTCCCAGCATGTGTGTCTCCTCGCTTCCGAACTACTAAAAAATTTTCACAAATTATCACATATGGAGATGCATGAGCAGTTTATGTATGACCCTCAGCTACCGTGTTCACCCAAATACTGGCAAATAGAACACACACTGTCAAACCGTTATTAGCACTCTGTCTAGACTGCAAGTTACTCCAATTACAGTTGTAATTACTATGCGTTCACTTCAGGGGAAGGCAGTAGTTCTATGTGAATGGATTCACACTGCAATTTTTCTCAGACCCTGTTCCAGGGTCCCCAACTATTGCAGTCCCCAGACCGTTCCGGTAGCTGAATCTTAGGGTCTGTAGGTGTAAGCGTCGCAGTTCAGTGAGTACAGTACCTGTAAGAGCATGCCAGTCCCCAAAGTCCAAAATTTGCAGCAGGCTACCAAGTAAGCAACGGAAGTCGGGAACTTTCCCAAATAGCAACTTAGCAAGGCAGATGTAGCGGACCCACCAGGTGTGGTGCTCCGCTAGTGACAGAGATGGAGATGGAGGAAGAAGGAGGGAGCAAGGTGCACAGCGCAGCTCCCCACGCAAGACTCCAACGCACGTACTCCAAAATGTGCAAGTGAAGAATGAGCGTGAAAACAGACAATGGYTGGGGTATACCCCWGCGGACTGACGGGACTGGACTGGACTGGCTGGTACCGACAGAGRTACCGGCCTGGACTGGCCTACCCCGAATACAACACADGCCTGTGAGAACAGGCSAAGGGGCTGGTCTCACAGGCCAACCCGAGGTCCGCTACAMGATCCTCGGCCTGTGATGGATCGCCTAGATACAAACATGCTTCCGCCAAGAAGCGGAACTCTACCAAAGAAAAKAAAACCTGAGTAGTCTAGGATGCGGAGCAAGCTCCATGYTGAGTCCATGCGATGCAACCTAGGATATAAAATGTCACAAAACARCAATGTCACAGCTAACAGCCTAAGTGAAMGCAGAAGCAACTAACTAACATACATGTCCTAGGAAAGCAAAAGCAACTAACTAGCATACATGTCCTAGGAAAGCAGAAAGTAGTGACAACTAGATCCTAGAATGTTGGAGGCACTAGCCTCCGTCTGGTAACAACTGACTACTGTACAAGTCCTAAGAACAGCAAAAGCAGAACAACTAAATCCTAGACATGTCAGAGGCAGTAGCCTCAGTCTGCGAGCAACAAAGCAACAACAAGTCTATCATATGTCACATGAGAAGTGTGTCGCAAACCAAAGGGTGAGATGGTCTCTGAGGGTGGCGAATGCAGCCTAGGGGTCAAAAACTCCTAAGGGCATCCACACATAGATAACAGGGAGACACATGTCATCAGGCTCAATGAGGGTAGGGAACTGAGAGCGAACATAACCAATGACCCTAACAGATAGACCATCAGGGCGGGTAATGCTCGACTAAGGGGTGACCGTTATGGCGGTTCGACCATGCAAAGGAACAGGGGAGCCTGGTATACTGGGCGCACCTAGATGAAGCATGCGGGGCTGCCTAACTAGGGCCTGAGGGCCGGCGAAGGGTAGAAAGATGATGGGTGAGGGAATCATGCAAATGACTCCTAAAGTGAGGGAAGTCGGAGCTAGATCCGTAAGATGGGAAGCCAGGGCAATGCTACGGTCCCGATGCCTATGCGTATACCAAGGGAGAGCCCAACTCARAGGAACCCGGCTAAAGGGAGACCATCATGCGACACCAGCAAGGTACTGTACAGGGTAGAGTGGTAAGAGAGTGGCGACGTCTGAAGTAGGCRGAGCTGATCGTGATGAAGTCCATGAAGCTGTCGATGACGTCCACGATGAGAAGTCCGGAATGTCGTCGAGGAAGAGCCGCAGCGTCGACGGGCTGAAGTAGCAAAACTGATGTGGATGGAGTACTCAGAAGTCGAAGACGTGGGAAGGTAAGTACGAGCCAATCGTCGTATCGAGCAGGACGACGACGAGTGCGCTGTGGACACTCAGAAGCATCCGGCTGCTGCTGAAGGTCTGCCTCAGCTGGAGCAGGCTCGACTTCAGCGGTCTCCTCAGCCAGAGGAGAAGGAGGAGGGTCAGTGGGCTGAGGAGGAGCAGTGAACCCAACACGACGAGCATGGTCATAGGCACGCACCAACATGCGAGCGTGCTGCAAGTGCTCGAGGGGCTCCCAGGTAGCCTCCTCATCAGGGTAACCCTTCCAACATACGAGATACTCGACGTGGGGAGGGTTGTCGTCGGTGACTCGGCGACCAATGATGTCTAAAACGAGGAACTCCTCGTGTCCGTCCACCATGATGGGTTGAGGGCGCTCGTATGGTCGTCCAGTGAAACGCTCAGACGGTCTGCGATAAGGACGCAGTAAGGAGACGTGGTAGACATCATGCACACGAGCCTGGCGTAGGTAGTCGGGCAGCTTCACATGAAAGCTGACCGGGCTAGATGCTGTATCAGAACCGACGGCCTGGAGGATGCGGCATGGGCCAAAGAAGCGACGCCGAAACTTGCGAAGCATGTCTGCTTCGAGCTGTAAGTGGCGGGCGTCGATAAGCACATCATCACCGACTTTGAATGGATGATCCATTCTCGATCGGTTCGCACGTGTTGCCATGCGAGTCTGGGAAGCGGCTATGTGCTCATGTGCGGTCTTCATAATCGACGTCATGTGTGCAACCCAATCATCCAGCGCGGGATAACTCGTGTCAGGGTGCATCTCGGACGGTCGAAGGAAGTCCCCAGGAACACGAGGGTGATAGCCGAGGTCGCGATAGTAAGGCGACATTCCCCTGGTTGGCGAGACGGCGTGGTTGTAAGCTATCTCCGCGTAGGCAAGATGAAGATCCCACTGCAAGTCATGACGAACAATCTTTCGAAGAATATCTCCGAGAGTCCTGTTCGTGATCTCGGTCAGACCATCAGTCTGAGGATAGTAAGACGAGGAGAAGCGGAGCTGAGTGCCGTATACCTCGTGGAGCCGTCGCCAGAATCGGCTGGTAAAACGCGGGTCACGGTCAGATATGATGCTCAGAGGTAAGCCGTGGTCACGCACGACTCGGTCGAACACGATGTCGGCGACCTCATGTGTACTGATGGCATAGCGGCACGGAACAAAGCGTGCACTCTTCGTGAAGCGGTCGACGACGACCAGGATAGCATCATGACCGGGAGGGGTTGGAGGACGAAGAGGACCGATAAAGTCCATCGAGATGGACTGCCAACGACCCTCTGGGATAGGAAGAGGCTGGAGCAAACCATAAGGCAGGTGGTCCGCACTGTTCACCTCCTGACAGGTCAGACACTTTGCGACGTAGTCCTTCACAAAGTCCTTGCGCTTCAGCTAGACGTACAGGAGGCTCACACGAGCCAACGTCTTGTGGAAGCCCATATGACCGGCAACTGCCTGGTCATGGAACTCTGCTACTGCTAGGACACGTAGCTGTCCTGTGGAGGGAACGCAAATACGGGGCTCTCTGGTGCCCTGTCAACTGTGCCAGTACACAAGACCATTGTCCCCAAGAGAGTAGTTCGGGACGGTCTTGCCACTCCGAAGGGTCGCGTGGATGTCGCGATAGTCGGGGCAGTGGTGGTACTGAGTGTGAAACTCATCGATCACCGAGTGGTGGACAGTGGTGACCGAGATGGAAGAGACCGGGATAAGACATCTGCGACCCGATTAGTTTCACCCTTGATGTGCTCAGTGGTGAAACTAAACTCGGATAGGTCGCGCCACCAGCGAGCCTGTCGAGGAGTGAGCTTCGATTTTGTCAGAAAAGCCTGGACAACAGAGTTGTCTGTACGCACCGTGAACGGTGCCCCGTGCAGGTAGTGACGCAAGTGCTAAGCGGCATAAACTATTGCGAGAACCTCACGTTCATCAGCAGTGTAGTTTATCTCGGCGGGCAGGAGCAGACGAGAGTAGAAGGCTATCGGACAATCACCGGAGCGAGACTCGACAGTGTCGTCCTCGACGATGGTAGGAGAATAGTCAATAGAAGGCTCGTCGGTAGCTGGACGAGTAGGCGTCAGTCGGGAAGCAGTGGTAGGGGTAGGTGGTGGGAAGCGAGGGATACGAGGATGAGAGGAATCAGGAGAGGAGGGGAAGACTTGAGAAAGCACTACTCCTACAGCAAAGTCTGACGCATCGGTGGTAAGGATAAAAGGGCGGTCAAAATCGGGTAAGTGAAGAACCGGTGCGCATGTCACCGCCTTCTTGAGGGCGCGGAAGACGTCCTCATGGAGTGGTGTCCAAGCCCAGGGTGGGTTCTTCCGGAGGAGGGTGGAGGTAAGGACGTAGGAATACCTAGCGTATCCCCGGATGAAGTTACTATAGTAGCTGGTCAGGCCTAGGAAGCTGCGAAGCTGCTTGGCGGATGTGGGRGMRGGCCACTCCGCAATAGCAGTGATCTTYGCGTCGTCCATRTGGAGACCCTGGTCAGACASGTAGTGTCCTAAGAAATCCACTTTGTGCTGGGCAAAGCGGCACTTGCTCAGCTTGGCGTAGAAGCCATGTCTGTGCAAGCGGTCAAGGACGTCGCGGAGGTGTCTGATGTGCTCCTCAAGGGTACGACTGTGGACCAGGATATCGTTGAGGTAGACGAGAACGTACTGCTCCACGATGTCCCTGAAGATGTCATTTATCGCCCTCTGGAAGGTGGCGGGTGCATTGGTGAGACCGAATGGCATCACCGTAAACTTGTAGTGGCCGAAGCGCGATCGGAACGCTGTCTTCGGCTGGTCGGTTGCAGCGACGCAGATCTGATGGTAACCGCGACGAAGATCAATCTTCGTAAAGAAGCGGTTGCTTGCTAGGCGGTCGAACAGCTCATCGGAACGAGGCATGGGGTAGCTGTTCTTAACCGTGTAGCGGTTGAGACCGCGATAGTCGATGCAGAGACGGAGAGTTTCATCCGCTTTGCGAGCAAGGAGGACGGGTGCACCCCACGGGGAGTTGCTGGGTTTAATGAAACCCAGTCTCAGGAGCTCCTCAAGCTGACGCTTGAGTTTGGTGGCCACGGGAATCGAGAGTCTGTAGGGTGCCTGGTGGTGAACACGATAGTCAGGCACAAGCTGAATCGAGTGCTCGACGTCACGCATCGGTGGGATGCCGGCGTACGAGAACGACGATGGGAAAACGTCGTGGTACTCTCGGATGAGGTCACGGACTACGGGCTCCAGGTCAGCCGTATATCGTGCGAGTTCCTCAGCGTCAGCGTCAGCGCTCAACGGCGGGGKGGACTCGACGAACGGCGGAGGGACGGAAGTAGAGATGGGAACCATGGAGATAGAGGGAGGATCTGGCTGCAGAGGGATGAGCTCGGCGTCGGGACAGGGTGGATCATATTGTAAGAGATCCGTCACGTCCACCATAAAGAAGGTGATGTCGTCCTGTCGAATGAAGTGAGCGAACTGCCGAGGCGAGGTGACGGTGATAGAGGGGGATGGTGTGGGCACTGACGGCTCTCGAGGAGGAGGATCGGGGCGTGGTATCGCCGTGGTACCTATGAAAGGTACGCGATACGTCTGTCCACACTTCGTTTCGAGAACGAGAGTGTTGGTCGCCCAATCGGCCTCGGTGCTGCGGAACCGACGAGACCACGGAGTGCCGAGAATGAAGTCATACCCCGTCTCCATCACATCGAAATGTGCAGAGGAGCGGTGGCGATGAGACGCCGGGGAACGATCAATCGGCTCCAGAGTGAGGAAGAAGGGGAGGTCGGTGACCGTTTGATCGAAGAAGCGCTGGGTCTTGTCATCCCTTAGGGTCTAGTCGTACCCAGGCCTCGAAAGGACCGCCACGCAGGCGCGTGGAGAGGTGACCCACCCACGTCTCGGGTGTGGCGCCCATGAGCTGGAGTGTGCGGGTGGCAGACTGCAGCCACCGAGGCATGTGTATGCCTGTACCGTCATACAAGGCAATGTCCGACAAGCGGATGAGTGGTGCGCCACCATTTTGGCGGCAAGGGGATCGAGGAGCAGAGGCCTGTGCCACGGCTGAGTAAGTCGGCGCAGGTCCTAGAGAGAGGGGCGCAGCTGACTGTGCGGTCGGGCCGCATGGGGGAGCGGCGGTGACAACAGCGGCAGGCTGCGAGGGTGCTGCGGTAGAAGAGGTCGCAGCAACCGCGGGAGTAGGAAGAAGGTAGGAAGGAGTTGTGTAGAGTGCAGGGCGCGGAAAGCGAGCCCGCATGGGAGGAAGGGTAGAGGAGGTAGGGGGTGCGCCCGAAGGCGCGGCCACCTGTGAGGGTGGGGGTGGCTGAAGGCGTAAGAGGGCGAGGTCCGCCCGGAGCTGGGCAATCTCGTCCGCGAGACCTCGAACGTAGGTCGATCGAGGGAAGGCAGGAGGAAGAGTGGAGGGGGTGGACGCACAAGCGGCGCGGGGCATCCCAGAGGGGGGAGAGCCAAGTGGCGCTGCGGTCGTGCGAAGGGGAGGGAGAAGCGGGGCACCCGAAAAAGCTGAGACCATGGTAGCGGGTTGTTGTACCGTGGCCGTAGTGACCGGGATCTGGGCGGGTACGCCCGTAGACTGAGGGGGGGCGTGGCTCGTAGCGGCCGTCGTGCTAGGGGCATGGACAGTCACCAAGATGGCCGGGTCAGGGGCAACAGAGAAGGAAGCTCCGCTGTGGCCACCCTGTCGGAGGACAGGGGACCCGGACTGGGAGCCAGGAGATGACGGACACGCAGCGTCCTGGAGTTGCTGCATGCCGGCGGCAAGGGTCGCCACCTGCGCCTGTAAGGGCGCGAGGGTCGCAAGTTGCGCCTGGATGGGCGCAAGGGTCGCGAGTTGCGCCTATATGGGCACGAGGAGGGAGGTGAGGAGGGTGTGTAGATCCCCCTGGGGCTGATGGCCCTGGTCTGCCGGCACGGGTGTGGAGCCCGATGCCGTGGTCCTCACCGTGTCGGCGGCGTGTGACGCACCGTCGGCCATGGGGAGATGACGGACCGGACTGGAGGGGGCCAGAAGAGGTCCGCGTGAGCGGAGGGCGTAGRGGGAAGTCCGCGGTAGAAAGCGGCGAACGGCGCTAGCAAGGCTAGCACGGGCGTCGTCAAAGGGGGARGGGTGGTTCGGGTCCAGGGTGCCCGAAGAGGACGGGGAAGTAGGGGGGTTTTGAGGAACCCTAAACCCTACAAAACCCCTAAGAAAACCCTAACCGAGGTCTAAGTGGCTAGGGTAGGGTACCGGTGACCTAATCAAGAAAGTAAAATAGCAAGCATAAGAGGGGGGGAGACGGGAGAAAAATAAATAAACAGCGAGATTTCGAGAAAAAATAAAAATAAATAAGAAAATAAATAAATAATAATAAAAATAATTAAAGAAATAAGTAAAGAGATGTGAAGGGAAACAATATTTATTTATTTATTTATTTATTTTTTTGAAATTTTCGGCAGCATTTCCCTACCCCCCACGGGGTCAAGAATGTGCCATGGGGAAGGGAGAGACCAAGGTGAGCACACTAGGTGTCAAGATGCCGCAAAAAAAAAAAAAAAATAAAAAAAAAATAAAGAAATAATAGATAAAGAGATAAATTAAAAAAATAAATAAATAAAGAACTAAAAGTGGATGAGGAGGTGGGGAGGAATGACGTATCTAATTTGTCAAAAATTTTGGCAGCATTTCATTACCCCCATGGGGTCGAAGTGTGCCGAGAAGACTAAGTGAAAGAAAAAGAAAAAAAAACAGAAAATTTCGGTAGCACTTCGTTACCCCCACGGGGTCAAAACGTGTGCCGAAAGAAGTAAAGACTGACACGTAATCAGATTGAGAGTTGCCGTAAAGAAAATCGAATTTTTAGACTAAATAGAAAAATAAATAAAATAAATCAGAAAATGAGAAAGAAGGTGGGAAAGAAGATATTTCGAATTTTTGGAAAAGAGAAAA